CGCTAACATGCAATCAATCACTATACCGAAAATCAACCGTTTCAAAATGACGTAACTGCATTCTGTTTTTTTTTTTTTCAAAATACATCCACGCGTCGTTATTCTAACGACTGATTCCCAAACGACAATTCTCGCGCTGGTCACCCAGTATACTTTCATAAAAAGAAAAGATTAATTTCATTTCAAAATAACTGAAATCGTCACTGGCTCTATCAATGCTAATTGGCGATCTGGGTCCCGCATGTTTTAATCATTCAGCAGCGTATTCGAACCGCCTGAAAACTCGTTCGGCGCGAAGACAATGGAAATCTACGGAAGTTGGTTAAGTCGGGAAGCTTCCCGTCGCGGTGCCAGGATTAACATTCTACTTCGTCGCTGGTCGCGGCATCCAGAAAGTTGCTAATACAATAGGCGCCTAGCCGCCTGTTGCACCCCCAGAATATCGCTTGGCGATCAACAAGTGGTTCGTCTAAGAGTAACAATGGTTTCTAATGCGCGCACCGCGCGGTTTCCGGTGCACACGACGGCCGCGTGCTGTGATTGGTCCCTGGCACACGGCCTTCCGCGTCGTTTCGAAGTTGCGAAAGTCGGAATGGATTTGGCTCCGCTGTCTGCTACGTGCCCGCAAACGCTTCGGGTCTCTCTTTCTCTCCACTTCGTGCGTGGAATCCGCCGCGGATCTCGATTTTAAATTTAACCCGCCCACGCTCGCCGATGACTTTCGGTAGTCGATCGAATCCTGAACAACGGTGGGAGAACTATTGCAGATATTCGTACAAAATAATGGATCGGACGTTCTATCGCATTCTCTTCGTCTCGCGAATGTGTTTTTTTTTTATGTTCATTTCTCATTTAAGCCCCTCAGCTGACGAGTACCTTTTCTTGGTATTAGAAGAAATTGATCTTGTGATACTGTATGGAAAATTGAGAACAGAAATTTAGCTTAGAAAAGGAAGTGGAGTGATAGTAATTACGGTATAATGTATCGTGAAATGGAAAGTCCTTTTTTTTAAATAGTAAATTTGACTTGTTTTTAGGAGTCCTAATAATTTACTTCGAATACTTCTATATTCAGTTTAATTAAGACTTAAAATTGATTCTTGTTCATACAAATAAATTATTCTTCTATAATACATAAAACATTACGTTTTTTTTTTCATTCCTAATCGTGGAGCCATGATAGTAGTATTTAGGCGATGGATCGACATTTTGAGAGAAGGTTTGTACGTGGGATAATGATCTCAGAGAAATGATAGATAATGAAAACGCTTTGTCGCGAACACCCTCAGTTCCTTAGAGCTTCGCAGATGAGTGCGTCTTAGAGCTCAAAGTTAAATATACGCGCACGCCAGTAGTCTTCCGTTTCTTCGATTAATGCCTTCCGAATTAACTTCGCCCGTGCCGCTTGAGTTACACAATCCAGCGACTAAAATTTGCTTCTGTATCCCTACTTCAAAAGTGGTATTTCAATCCTTAGACGAACACTCGATTTCATTCGACTCTAAGTACCCAGAGGGGTCTGTAACGAATTCTAACAAAACTGTCATGGTTTGAGAATCTTTCTAACAAATACCGTTATTATTATGTTCATAATACCATTTTTTTTTTGTTTTTAATTGAAACCCTTTTATCACGACTGCTTTTATCTATTTTTTTTTTAATTTGGACCCTTTTATAATGAAATGCAATTATCGATGACACCTGATTCCATCGTTTTCATCTACCCTTCCTTCTCAGATCCTTTGCAATCCAAGAGTCGAAATAAAACCTCTCAAAAGTTTTGAAAGACACATTTCAAAGGAAATTCCACCCGGAATTTGAATGTCAACCGAGGAGCCGTCGCAACTCGCGAAAAGAGACATCGAGCAGAAATAGCAGAGTATTAATAGGTCCCTTGTTATAGAAAAATCTACAGCCTAGACAAAACTATGTCTCGCTGAGGCCGCGCGAAGATTGAGCGAGGATATTTTGCTTGGCTCGTGGAAGCGTAACCGCATCGTATCGATCAAACCGTACCAAGACGCTCGTCGAGGAATCTTATTTTCCGCTGGCGAAGCTTTTCAATAATTCCGTGCGTGCGCTCGCGAACGCAACGAGAATCCCGATCATAAATCGGCCGAGGAGTTTTGAAACTCGAGTGGAACTCGAGACGCCGCGACTGCCAAGCACTTCTAATTGCGAGGATTGTCCAAAGGCCTTCGAGATCAGATTCGCTCGATAATTAGCGACGTACTGACTCGAGAACTTAGAATGTCTTCAATTTTCACCAGCGATCGTATTAACTTTTGGCCACGTATCGAGAAGAGCAACGACACTGCCAAGATCTTGACATTGTCGTCGGCGTACGTACATTCCTCCCTGACAGAGGCAGAAAGGGAATGCTTAATATTTCGCAAAGAAAAAATTAAAAATGAAAAGTATAGAATTTCTAATCCTTCCTCAGTTACACATTTCAAAGAGAACAGATGATTATAAAACCAAATATTGAAGCATTAATAATATTCAGATATTTCTGTTTAAACTAGAGTTAATGATTGTAATAAATGTAAAGGAACCGAAGTGATTTCTACACCTAATGCATCCGTAAAAATATGAATTTGCATAAGCATCCTCATCTAGTCATCCTCGGCCTAGTCCTCGGTCGCACCCAACGTAAACCAAACGGAAGTGACCGATGATTCTTTCTTTGGTCAGGTGCTCGCCGAACCGCGAGTACAAGATATACACGCTGCGAATATAATGTTTGCGACCAAACATACGACACGGTGAATAACGACTTGGCAGAATAGAGATCTCGAATTGCAACAGGCCACGGCTTACGAGTTCGAACTATTTATTAACTGTGACGACGGTGACTTCGTATTTCACGCAGTGACGTGAAGTTCGAAAATATTTCGTAGTTGATCGTTCGAACCTGTGACGCGGTTGGTTACGACAAATAGAGTAACTAAGCCCCTAGGTTTCGACGAATCCCGCGAATTTGTTGGGATTACCTACTGTATTTTCTGCAGGCAACGTCAAACGTTTGGTACACCCCCTTGATCTCTATAACTTTCTCGGAGAAAGAGCATTTTCGAATTATATATAATACATTGAGAATGAAAAATTTTCTTCGAGAGTTGAGCTATTATTTTTTAGTAAGCCAGGACTATAACAAGTCTAAGCCAGGACCTCTATTTACGATAAATATATTATTAATAATATTATTAGTAATAATACTAACTAGTAAACATCCATTGAGAATATTTCTGTTTAAACTATATTGTTTAAATATAGTTGAAACAATTATATAATAATAATTATTATTATATCGTAATTATATTTGACAGTAATAGTAAACATATATAATAATAATAATTCTGTGCAAACAGCATTAACTCGAAGAGCATGTGTCAAAGTAGCGAATCATGCGTAGATTATATGGACGCTCTTCGGAACTGCGTATAAATAATAGTACGTGAGAATCTTTAGCCAGTACGTCAGTAGCCACCAAAGCGAACGTTACCAAATTATTTATGTTAAGAAACTGTGATTCCCAGATTGAATTGACTGTAAATCCCGGCGCTCTTTATGAGTTTTCGAAGACAAGACGATATTCTGATCTCAAATACGTACGTATTTTCTGAATTTTCTTTCGCAATCGTGCATTTAAGATGGCCGTTGCGCAATACCACAATGCTGCAATTAAATTATTTGGTGTAACTGTTATTTTCAGTTTCAAATATTCGGCATAGTCGATAGACTGCATTTTTAAGAAGTGGTATTCGTTTATGGCCAATACTAAATATATATGAATAGTCAATAATTTTTCATTTAAATTGACGAAATATCATTAGAACAATGATGTAATAACAATTGCGTTCTCTTTTCAGTGTTTTCTATGAAAGTCTACATTGAAAATGTATAAAAAGTTCTTCGTCTTTGAGAAAATCAATTTCGAACAGTCCTGGGACGCACGCGCGACAGAATTACCACTTGGCTAACATATCTGCCAATTACACGTTATTGTTGCATCCGCTGTCGTTTGTAAACACTTTCAGTGAAACCGTATCACTTGGTTAAATTGATTCTAATTAATTAAAAGACGGTCGGACGGACGATAGACAGACAATACCGTACCACTGCCGATGTTTACAAACGCCAGCGCAAGTAGAAACAGTGAGTAATGGACAGACGCGTCAGCCAAGTCAACTGCACGCGTGCTCGACGAACATTGAGAATTGGTGTTCTCTGAAACTAAACTTTTTACATTCTACTTTCTCAATTCATTCTCTCACTACTTCTCGCTGCTACTACTGCAACTACTGCTACTACTTTTGTCTGTCGAGAACAAACATTGATACTACGCCCATATTTATGCAGTCACTTTTAGTACCATTCGTTTATTAACCCTTTGTACTCGAGGTCTTTTTTTATTGTATCTACCAGCAACTCGAGATGTTTCTTAACATTCTATTGAGTTCTAAGGTATCGAGATTTTAGAACAAGGTCATCTTTATCTCACCGACAATCATTTTATTGATACGTCGAGCTCCAAAGAAATTAAACCTAAAGAAACATTAAGTATTGTAGATTTGTTGCGTGAAGCCTAATGGTGACTGAGAGTCACCTCTCGAGTGGAAAGGGTTAACACTAATATTGAATCTAGAAAATTCATGTGGATCGGGAAATAAGTGTACAATTAATTCATTATAATATATTCACAACACCAGCTTTATATATTACAACAAATTTTTCAAGTAAGGGTTCAGGACTTTGTTATATATTCAACTCTTTTTTATTGTATATGGAAGCAAACATGATTATACTATTAAAAGACCAAAATTCTAACGTCTCTTTTGGAACTCTTTAGTGTAGGATACGGAAATCTCAATTTCCGTTTGAAATGGAAATCCTCCTCTTTCTTCGAATATATTTATTTTGCTGATCGAGTACACGAACTTTTATCTCTGTTATTTATCTGTTACTCTTCTAACAAGTGTTTCTCACGTGTGTTACAGGCATGGAGCAGTTCGAGCAACTGCTGACGTGCGCTATATGCCTGGACCGGTACAGAAACCCGAAGCTTTTGCCATGCCAGCACAGCTTTTGCATGGAACCCTGCATGGATGGCCTCGTTGACTACGTGCGGCGACAGGTCAAATGTCCAGAATGCCGCGCGGAACATCGTATACCTTACCAGGTGGGTAACCGATTCCGAAATCGTTAACGGCAGAAGTTTTCCATCCATTAGAGGCAACTGTCGCGAACATCCAGTCCCCGCCGATATCGCTTATTTAAGGACGCTTCTGCGCCCGACGTCCTCGAACGTCGCAAGTTTTCACGATTCGCCTCACTCTAATAGAACAAAAGCAATTCTACGATTGCTCCCAGGACAGGTTGACCCGGTGATTCTTAGAATTCCAAAATCACAAGGTCAATTTTATCGGGTAACAATTTTATTTACCTAGAAATTTCTTACTATTCAATTGTTTTTTCTGTGCGACTTGTTTAGTTGCCTGGTTAACAATAACTACGTTCCTTCGATATATTTTATATCGTGATTTCTGCACATGGTTAAAATTATATCGTTTGGTTTGTAGAATTACAAACATAAAACATAATACACTTGATACTTCATTGTGTACAAAAAATTTAGACCAATTTCACGCACCGAATACTATTCATTATATCGTGATCCTTTACAATTATTTAACTTCTATAATAACTTGCATTTTATTCTAGTCAAATGTTCCACGGAACAGTTATGCTCAGAATTAACTTAGAATTCTTTCACCAAAACACGCGATTCACTATGTATCAATTTACAGAAAATGAATCTGATATGATCTTCAATCGTCAATAATTTATAATTCCATAACCCTCGAATCATTTGGCATGACATTCCAATCGTATCATTTCGCAGCATTACGGCGAAGACTCACCGCGTTAACCTCCGATTCCCGTTCAATCGCGAATCTCACGATTAATTTCACAAATGGAAATCAGTTAGCTGGATAAACTCGGCGACATTCGATATCAAAATCAACCCGAATCCACGAACGAAGAACAATGGAAATGCACGAACAGATGGCACACGTGCTCTTCGAATTAAGCATACCCGAACACGGTTTTACTTAACCGAGTGTAATACGCAGCCTCATCTTTATTCAACAGCGAATCTACGCAGACTGGGTATCCCTCATGAAATTGGATGAAGTTTCGGGTTTCGTGACGCGACGCTTTCTCATGAAACATTTGTCTTAGTTTCTTCCACCCCTCCCCTCTAAGAAACGCGATCGTTCTTGCGATTGGCCACGTGCTGATTTTCAAGTTATGGCGTTAGGTCAAATCATTATTTTCATCTCTTCGTACCTGTACTCAGGTGCAATTATTATTTTTAGTTACAATCAAAAATACATATATGTAGTTTCTGTATCTTGCATTTTAAAGAGAGCACACGTAAAATACCTGAAACTTCGAAATAAACAGGGAATGTCAAATAGAAAAGTTAAATTAACACTCGAATGGAAGAATCTTCGTATATTTACTAAGGAATCCAACAACTCTTACTTTCTTGATAACACTTTAATAAATAACTACCACGATTTTTACATATTTTACCCAAATTCAATTTGAAGTAAGAGCTGGTACTATTCTTTTACGAGTCCAAAGGGGTATATGTACACACACCCTCATTGGAAATTCCTTTCGTTTCATTTTCACGTGGAACCGTGGTTATTCAATCGAACGTTCGCGATTCTCTAACGTGCGTCGTGTTGTCCTGCAGGGTGTGCAGGCGTTCCCGACCAACGTGACCCTGCAACGATTCCTGGAATTGCACATCGAGATCACAGGAGAGCTGCCAGACCCTACCAGCGGCCAGACAATGGAACGGTGCGGCGTTTGTTCAGAGAAAAGCTACTGCTCCCTCTGTGTGCACTGCGAGAAAAAATGCTGCCCCGAGTGCAAGGACGCTCACATGGACATCCTCAGGCGTGAGATTACGCGCATCAATTCCCAGGTAGGTGGACCATGCTACCGTGCGAACGTTCGCAGGAATCCTCTTTGAATACCTTACTCCCTGAACGACGGAATTCGCGACGAGGAAAGCTTAAAACCTTGATTCTTCCTTTTTTGTTATTTTGTTTTTGTGGAAATATTATTCTGTCGGGGATCATCGTCCCTTTTTTATCGTGTGCTGGCTGGGAAACAATTGGAATACGTGGCAAACAACTTTCGTGTTATTTTACGTGTCGATGAAACGCAGTCGTGACTGAAAAAAGGGCAGAATTGTTTATTTTTATTCTTGGTGAAAATTTCATTCCGATGGATAAAACGTTAAGAATAGTTTATTTCTTATCGCGTGGAAGCTGAGAAACGATTACGAAGGGCAGTAAACTTTTTCTTGTATTTATTTTGAATATTTAGGGTGAAAATGTTCAACGTTTGAAATTATTTGTTGTTTGAATAGTGGAATGAAATAAATTTATTCTATTCAGAGAGAAAACTATCAACAATCGAACCACAGCTGTCACTCGTCACTAACTATTGAACTAGAAATTAAAAAAAAAAATCACCAAGTAGCTGAAGCAGTACATCGTTTACATTTTCACTGGAAAATATTTTCTGCCCTAATCTGCATAAAAAGAAGGAACTTTTCAGGTTCAGCGCCAAAATCCACAAACGCGTATTACCAAGAAACGATAATAGAAACATGGCGCGCAGCAGAAATTTTGTTTTTAACATTTCGTATTTTTGGAAGTTCGAGTGACCGCGAAATCGCTTTAAAAAAAGAATATCGTGTAAATCGGGGATTAGGCGTATTTCTGGAAACAGCGCAGAGGATTTACACCCGATTCCTGGGAGGGTAAATCAACTTCGTTTCTTCCAGACTCCCTCGGGCGCCCAGATAGCGCCCGATCGGCCGCGAATCGACGATCCAAGGATGTTTTTAATCTCCGCGAACGCCAGCTCGGGGATTACACTTCGATTGAAATTCTTCCGATCCGTGACGCTTTTTTTTTTTTAATCGTTTGGATATCTGAATCGAAAATTAGCGCCGATATTGAACGAAGGAAGCATAGAGCTCGAGGGTGTTCCACCGTGAAATCGTTTCTCTTGATTCAAGGAGCACGGTGTATTCGACCGCGATATCTTCTCTCAGAGAGAAATGCTTTATCTCGAGACTACTCTTCCTACTATTGAACTCTTTCACGCGAAATGTCGGTTTCCGTAATTACACTTTGCACTTTTAATTTTATGCTTGCGTACGATACGGTGACAATGATATTTTAAGTACGATTCGAGGAGAGTTTTGTTAATACTGAAAACTTTATATAGTACAAAAAAAAAAAGAAAAATAGAAAATGTAATGATATTGCAGAGGACCCAAAACCTGGATTTGAAAACGTCAAATACTATGAGTTACGATTATTTTAAGGTAGCATTAGAATTTTGTTTTTTGGGAAAACGGAAATGGTGTTGGGATATTTCCGATATTTTATTTTAATTATCCATGCGGGCCTATTTATAGGATTTTTAGTACCAGCGTTTAGGTAGAAGGACAAAATTCCGAAGCTCCGTTTTAAAAATCTTTTGTTACTTCATGAACGAACTGATACTTTTAGCCTTTCACTTACGTTTCATTTTTATTTCGTATTGACCTAATTAACGTTAATTGACCACGTGACTAGTTTCGTACAAAAAGTCACGATTGTTACACGATATTCCAAGGAACCGATCTTGTAAATTGGGATATACATAGATGCACTAAGAAGGAGGCTGATTCGCGTCTATTTTCGGGGACCACGAATAAACTTTCACGCAATCGTATTTGAGGCAGACCAGAGTCTGGTATCTATACATCGACAGCCAACGACTTGTTGCGTTTCAAGGAGATGTTATTATTATTATTAAGAGGTCATTACTTCGTGATTACGTCTTCAGTTATCATTATTATCATTAATGGAAAGTATTAGGCGAAGCATTTACCTCCTCCACTGGTAACACGTTCTCCGCGAATTCACCGTCAACGTTTCCAGGTGGTTGGTAATTGCAAACCAGATAAATTTTCCCGTCATCACCAGTAGCCATTCCAAGGCCGATCGATGTCGTTCCTTTCCATACCAGTTGTGTGAAGTGACGCACGTCTTCTAAATTTTTCACCGTCGGTTCCCCGTATTTGAAGTATTTCCCCTCTTGGTACCTGAGAACCAAGTACAGTAGACGATCAGATGATTCGAACCACTAAAGAAAAAAGAAAGTTGTTTAATATATTCCAAGAAATCTTTCTTATCTTCGTTGGCTCGTATAATTTTATCAATGACTGCAAATAGCACGAATCGTAGCCGAGTCATTTGAAATTCAAATTTAATCGGTGAATGCACCTGCATGAAATGACAAACGGTATCGTGGTAAAAGGTTTTCAGTGTTTTCTGCGAGGACTAACCAAAATTCTATGGGATCTCGTGGCTTTATATCCTCTGGCACGTCTCTCCAGAAGCTTACGTACACATTTTCGCCGTAGTCGGGGTCTGATCTGTACGCCAGGGTGCCTTTTTTCGCCAATATGTCCGCCCATTCTTGGGCGTACTCGTTCAACTGAAAATCAAAGCAGCGTTTCATTTTTAATATTTATTACAGAATGAAATTCATCTCAAATAAGGAAAATTAACTGGTTTGGCTAGGTAGAGTGTGCTGTCGATAGTGTAGTGCGCTCTGTTGGTAATTATTTATCAACAGAGTGTTCTACAGTATCAACAAACCATCTTTTATCTAAAGAGTGTTTTGTATTATCTACTCATAAAAGGAAACCAATGTTTCCTCCAAAAGTACATAGTTTCAGGGGCAATAAATATACAAGAATTTTTTTAAATTTCAACTATAGTTACAACATTTAAATAACCCTGATCTATCAACTAAAACACACTGTCACTGTTGCAGACAGTTCTTATATTACAGCATATAAATACTTGGAAATTTAATCCTAAATATCTGATACGTTATTAACTACAATCACTCAAAGCTACATATTACTGGTTACAACATTTCAAACTGTACTACTGTGCTCAAGCTCATTTAAATATTAGAGAACCCATCGACGAAGTCCTGCTGCCAGCTCATCGAGCTGAATAATTTAACACGGGGAAATAGTACGTCCCTTTTGATTGAATTTAGTAATAAACGTTATTAATACACCACTGCTATTAATACTGCAATATTTCATAAAATTCTGCAGAATAAACAAATAACTCGAAAATGTTAATCATTAAACGCGTACCTCTTCGACGATCGCGACTGGAGGGGACGTGTGATTGGCTCGGTACTGATTATGCAACTTCAGGAAGCCGTCCACGAATTTCACCGGAAAACTCCTGCAACAGAGACCAACGCTGTCATTCGGTATCCACGAGGAAACGATACGACGAACGACTCAAAGGATTCCTCACTTCATTTTTAACTTAAACGGTTCGAGAGTCGTGCAACGTGTTGATCAATATTTGAGGGAATACTAATCAGGGATCTGAACGGTTCTCGGGGATTTACGGTGAAAAATTTACAAGCGTGGCTACATATTTGAGGTTTAAAGTTGTAGGTTAAGTCAACCACGATGACGGTGTGACAAACAAGCGCGAAACTGATTTTTCAGTTTAAAGCGCCGCCAATATTATTCTTTTCGAATCAGTTCCATCGGTTACTCGAATGGGTTATTAACGTAGATCGTAGAAGTAGAAAATTGAATTTGTTTAAAGTAGAGTTATAATCCTAATTCCCCAGAGTTTGAACGAGATAATATGGTACAATTGACGAAAGCTGGGATTTCCAGCGATGGAAGCAGTCGACCAATCCCGCGAATCGAACGACACGATTCATGCCGGATGAATACTATAAATTGGGGTCAACATAATCGCGGTATTACTACGCGTCTGTGTACGTGCAATCCCAAAATAACTGCCGGTATATTTGTTCGCCCCCCTACTGCACGCAAAACAAACTCTTCCCTTTAACGATGCGAATTCCATTTTTAAACAAACCGGAAACCGAAATCTCTCGATTCTAGAATGAACGAGAAAGAAAAGTTCTCGTGATCGGGATACCTCTGTCTATTATACAAAAAATAAACAAAAATTTTAGCCAACTATTACGTATAAAAATTAATATTTGAACAGTCTAACTATATGATTAAGTCTAAAAATAAATATATACATAACTATTTAAATAGTTGGGTCATAATCAGTGCCTTCAAAATACACATTTTCCTTAGACAAATTTTTCGCGAACCCTCGATAAACCACGATATTCCCCCGGTGTGGAAAGTAAAAAACAGCCCGAGATTCGATTAAGCCGAGAAATAAATTATACAAATTTTTACGGGGGATTCTCATCGATCCGATCATAATCCTCTTTTCAGATTCGCAGAGGGTTGCACAGGTTGCAGGACGCGCTGGCTCTGGTGGAGAAAAACACCCTAGGTCTGCAAACAAACTGCGCCTCGGTCGCGGAAGAGGTGGACGAAATTTATCGGAGGCTGAGCAAGGCTTTGAAAGACCGTACGGAACATCTGCGTAACGAGGTCGATCGATACCTGAGCACCGAGCTCAGGGGTCTGATTCAGCTCAAAGAGAATCTCGAATTGGAAATCGCGAATATCCAGAGCAACTGCGATTTGGCGGAGGCTCACATCAATGAGAACGTGCCGTGGGACGATTCGGAGCTCCTCGACACAAAGGAGCTCTTCCTGCGCACCGTGGAATTCATCAGGTTTGTCGCCTATAATCCATCAGCTTTTTCCACGCGTGTTCGTATCACAGCGTTTCTCAAACTTTCCCGACACCGAGGCCATTCGAACGTTGGCTTCCTTTTAAAAGTATGTACATTCAAAATTAAGATAGTCTTCTCAAGCTCCGTTATAGTAAAAATATGAATATTATAAAATGTGGTAGAAGAAACAAATTTGTAAAGAATTTTTTTTTTTTTTTTTGGATCGTATGATAGAGGATAGCCAATGTTTTTAACTTCATAATGACCAGAATGATAGGTAGTTTATAAAGATATATTCGATAAAGTACGAATTTGAATACAGTAGTCCTAGAAATCTCTGTCATGTACAATGTATAAGTATTATTCCATTCACTGCCAGGCAAATTCAAAGCGTATTGCCTTGGGCGCCAAGATTTAATACAGATGTGTGATCTAGTTACCATTTTGATAATAAAAAGATTAAATTTGCTGTTTTAAAAATAAAATTTACGATCTTCTTTTGCAATAATTCGTGACTGAAGCGGCTATAAACTTATCCCTTGAATAATTGCAAATCAATTAGAACTACGGAGGCATCTCGTAGTTGGCAGTGAATAGGTTAAAAGAATTTTTGTTTGTTCTAAATATCTAACTTTATAATGGCTAGGATGTTAGCTCTTTTTTGAAATCATATTCGATATAATACAATATCATATCTTATGTTTCGTAAAGTCTCAGTTTACAACAAATTTAAGTATCATGGACTATAGTAAAAGAAGCAAATATTTTGGTCTTCTATCTACTATCTTCTATCTCTAAACTCTGTAAGCTCCATACAAGTGAATGGATAACAATTTCGCATTATCGGAAAGTGTCGCGGTTGAAAAAAGTTTAAAAAGTACCGTGCACGAAGGACCCTCCTTTAAAATAAATAAAGAAATATGTTCCTGTCGGGATTACGATTACGGGGGGATGAATATAATCCTCCGAGCCGAAGAACATAATCCTTTATTTTCTAATGCCGCCCTTCAGTAAGAAGCCGTTATGGCTCCAGCATGGAAACAAATTTCTTCGCGATACCTGTTATCTTTCCAAACGTTCGCAAAGTACTCTTACGGGACCAGCGGTCCGTTTTACGGAGATTGAGATTAAAATTTATCGACTTAAAAGAACGATACTCCCTCGCTACCCACGCGCTTCGTCTAAGGATATTCCGCTTAACGCGACTCGAGCGGGATTTAATGCGAATGGAAATTTCAAATTTTTCTTACGAACCGTGCAGTCGAGGCGACGTCGCGTCGAATCGTAACGAGAGCCGCCCTGAAAAGTAATTTCGAGACTTTAATCGGGCGAATCAGAGAAAATTAAAAGGAAAGCTTTCAGACTTCGTTTTCTCTCCTCGATCCTGAACGGCTCTAAAATCTCGAGGAAATCCCGATCTCTCGAAAAATCGTTGCAGACTCTGCGGGGAATAACGATCCGCCTTGAATACGAAATACGGCGAGCTTTATCCGTGGAAAGGCAATTTCCTAGACGCGTATTTCGCTTTTCTTGCTTTATCGAGCGTCAAGTTCAATGCCGACATGAATCGCGGCCTCATATTGGAGCTCGGTGAAGATAGCACGCGTCATTAAATTTTTCTTTCGTTTAACATTTGAACGAACGACGCGAAATCCCACGACCCTTGAAGTTTGGGACACTTTCGAGCTCGACGAGCTATGGAAGTAAAATTTTATTCCAAAAGAAAAACAGAGCTCTACGAACATTTTCAAATATTTCACGCCGACGTTATTCTTTATCTTGCTTTCTATCGTCGTCGGCAAATTGTAACTTAATATAAAAGAGAAAAAAGAAAAATTAGACCCATGGATGTGATTTGCAATACCTAATTTTTCTTATATTCGTTTGCGTAATTTATCAAAAGTCCACGAAGCCATTAAACGTGTCAATAATTGAAAATATTTGTTATTTGCCTGGTAGGACTAACAAGTATCCTAAAATAAATGTATTATATTTTATGTAAATTTATATTTAAATTACACCTTTTATATCACTATTAGATTTATATTTTTCAAATCAAAGCATGCACGAGGCAATCAGCATTTCACAGTAGACACTCGACTTCCCATAAATTCCTGGAAAATAAAGGCACCCCCGTTACGCAGGACACAAATCATAATTCGGACAACGAGCGATAAATCACTCCTGCACGCCAGCTTCTATCTCTTCTTTCATCGTTTAATTTTTCTCCATTTACCATCCAATTCATTCTGCTCCCCGCTCTGCATACGTGGGCGAACTTTAGCATCAGCTGGTCGCTTCTTTCGAGCTGTAAGAAGAGTATTTATTATTTTCTGAATAGACACAATCGGGAAAAGAAGCTCGAATATTGCCCAAGAGATAATAGCAGAAGTTCCGCGGGCGTCTTAAAAGACCCTACTGCCCCAAAGAAAATAATTGCTTATCGTCGTAATCATTTTTCATCCAAGTTCGCGAGTTCCTCGGACGCTACAACTTGTCGTTTCCATTTTTAAACTGGCAATTTTACAGATCGTTACGAATTGATGGAGAGTCGCGAAGGGCGGCCGCGCGACGTCGTAAATCCTCCACTGATCGTGACTTTTCGCGAAATTGAGAACCGCCTTTCGATTCTCCGAGGGCTTCGGCGGGCAGAATTATTATCTAAATAAAAGATAAGGAAGCTCAGTTTGGAGTATCAAGTTTCGTCGTTGAATATAATGTATTGTATAATAAATTGCGAAATGTCCTTTGGAAGGATTTTATTGCAGATCTTTCCTAGAAGTATGTATATAGGTATACATATAATTCGCATTCAATTTAAAGTGGCTCAGTCTGGAGCGAAAACTACTACCTTCCAATTTTAAATAATTCTAATACTATAATTTTAATTTACATCTGACTTCAATTACTTCCAAAAAATTTGTCTCGCTCTAAATGATTGGACTCCCTCTACCATCCAAGGGAAGTCGATATTTTCATTAATTTCTCAACGTGCAGCTTGAGACTCTTCATATGGAACAACCAAACAAATCTAAAAGAATAGATAAAATTCGAAAGATTTATCTAAAAAAAAAAAAAAAGAAACAAAAAGACAGAAAAATATTTTTGTAAGCGACACCACGAATATTGATTCCGAGCGAATGATTTGCGTCATCGACCAACAATTCTAATTTCCTAATGGGGACGAAATCGAATCATTAATTTTGGATCGTTTTGCAGGAACTTCGAGTACGAAGCTGGGGATTACAGTCGGCGTGTGCGATTCGTGATGGCCCACGATCCGAACCAGCTGGTCCTTCACGTAGCGGGTTACGGCGAGCTGAATATTAAGCCGGAGACCGGAAGCGGAGGATTGCTGGGTAGCTCGAGCAGCCTAGCGCCACCCGGAGGATCGCCAGGCCTCATGAGAAGCAAAAGCGACCATCGTCTGGCTTCGCAGTACAGACAGCAAGAGGAGGAACGGCTCGCGAGAAATCGATACCTGCCCGAATACGAGTAATTATCTCTTTTGCTCGCTTTTGTTTATCTTTCCTCCTGCTTTCCTCGCCGCAATTTCCACGACTCGTTGGCCCCGTGGCTTGGGAACCTACCGCGTTGCATCTTCGGCTTCTTTACAGAACGGTGCGCTGCTTCTGAAAAACGGAAGCTACGCCGGCCAGCTGGAAAGATTTTAGGCACGTTTACGTTCAGTGTTTCTCTGGATCAGAATTTATCTGGGAAAGTTACTTCGTTACCGATCAAAACTTTGTAGGAGGAATTAACGATATACAGGAAGATGCATCTTCTAATCCGTCTTCTCTGTAAATGTAAGCATGGTTCGTTCTTTTAACATTTATCCTTCATTTTTCTATGCTCTTTCTTATCTCGAATTTCTTCCTCGTAGTATACTATTCTTCTATTATTTATCTTCTCTTCATTTTACTTTATCTGGGCCTAGAAACTTTATCTCGTTTTATCGTAATTGTACATTTATCGTAGCTTATCCATATTGTGTATTCCTGAAGCGATGTACACAGGATAAACATTTTTTCCTGACGAAGTTCTTCGTTTATCGCGTTTGTTCCTTCCTAAAAGGCCAACTGTGGCACTATCTGTTTCATAAATTACATTCCATAGAGTAGCATAGGGACGAAGAGAAATTCGATCATCGATCATGGTAGTTTATATCTTTGGCAGTATACAAGCTCGAGACTGTTTCTTGAAGGATCTTCTCGTTAAACTGTTTGCCCAATCGACAGCGTCGCCTGTAAGACAGATTTGTGTAAATGTTGGATGATAAAAGGTAAATAAAGGGTTTTCCAAAAGTGGCTTTGAAATTATGTTCATTAATAAGACATCATATTTCATGTTCAATTGTAATCATGTGTACTCTCATTCGGAATAAAACAATCGGATACATTTCATACCACTCGTGTTTTATTAACAACCAAAATCCTGAAGCTCCTCTTGGAAAACCCTTTATGCTTGGTATGCCTAATGCAAGGAGCTATAAGTAATTAGACGACGGAGAAATTCGTCTTAAATCTAACAACTGCGTTCTTTAAATGGAACGTCACATGACTTCAATGTCCAATTCTGAGTATAAATGTATCACTTCCGATCTATGAAATCTTCTCTGGATATTCGCTTCTTGAAAATTTGCCCAAGAGATTCAATATTGTCGAAGATTCCTGCAGGACACTGGTATCTATCCCAAGGAGAAACAAGGATCAGTTTCGGATTAAGGGGACTGTCGTACCACCCGATAAGTAGATTGTGGACAGTGTCGAGTAGGACACTGTAGTCCTTACGAAGACTGGCCAAACTGTCCAACCGAATACGACTCTCAATTTCTCCTAGAACTGATCTCTTTCTCTCTATGGTACCTAGCAGGGCTTATCAACGACAGAATAACAGTATTATATTGCTGCAGTCGTCTATACTTTGTAGTAGGTGCTTCAGATGGTCTTCGGTATCGTTAATCCATCGATGCAACGTGCTAATCCTACCCAGGACCTACGCTAATCTTCGATGAAGAATTGCATTTTTAATTTATTAGTTTAACTTATTAATTTAATTCATTAGTTTAATTTTTCTGAAGGAAACTTAAGAATCATATTTAGTAATTTATTAGTACTACCCAGAGGTATTGGAGTTCTATGTAGAGTAATTAAAGCAGTGAATGGATAGAATTTTTATTTAAAAAGTTTCAATAAGTTGCATTAATTTTCGATGAAGTATCGTATTCTCTACTAATTACTTTAACGCTACCGAGGTCAACGAACAAATAAATATATCTCTCTATTTAAAAGAAGGGGGAGCAAAATAATTCATGAATAAAATCACTTCTCTTTTACAGCGGATGTCCCTAAAAATTGTGATAAAATCATTCTTAACGCACCGGCGGATATTTTACGTTTCTATAACAATACCGAGATGTGACGAAAATAATAAAATTCTGAAGTTGGACATCGCAAATTTGTATCGTTTGGGCGAAGATAAAAATTACAAAATGTATTTTCAAACATCAAGGAATAGAATTTCAAGTGGCGTGAATTCACGTCAATGGTCGCGAATGTGTTAATAATCGGGTGCTTTTAAGAAGAAGCTTACATGGGTCACATTACCCAGCTAGCTTGAAATTTCAACGATACTGACTTCGAACAAGCGAAACGTTAATCCCTCGGATATAGAGGCGTATAACACCGCGCAGAAAAAGTTTGGCACCCTACAAACGAAAAGTCTAACTCCTGCCGCGTAGTGCCGGCACTCAGCAGTGTTAGGGTTCTCGCGACGTATCGCGAAAACGTCTTCAGTTGGGAAAACGAAATTCGTCTCGTCTGGCTGACCGGTAAAAACTTGTTTGACCGTGGACGCGGATTACTTTGGACCATGGCCAAACAGCGTCCGTTGAGGGCATACATTTTTCAGGATGTCCTACATATCTATTCTAGCAAACGTTATAAATACACGACGAGTCTCGTCTGGCCGAATCTTTTTCCGCGGCGTGGGCCGCCGTGCAACTTCCTCGAGGCCGAAATAGGCGTGGTCGGGCGCTTAATTACCGACCGTTTCGCGTATATACGCCGGCCAACCTACAGTTTCATTAAGCCACCTCGTCAAAATGTAAATGAAATGCTTTTGATATAATGCGTCGCGTAATAAATCTTAATTAACGCTACTGAGCACAAACTGCGGTCTGGTTACGCGTGTCCTCGATGCCGCAGGATCGAACCGCAATACTATTTGTCGCGTGACAGGGCCACCTCTGCCCCCTAGTACCGCTGATTCCGCAATTTTCTGCCCGATAATCGCTGATAATCGCGCACACGAAACTGCGCCGCACGCCAAACCATCCAAGGAAAGGTACGATTCGTGCGGAGCTGTTAAAACTTGTTTTGTGACAGGTGCCTTCGTGTCGGGCTAACTAATCCTGCAAGGTTTGTTGCGAGGAAGTATTTATGCGGAGAGAAAAGACCTTAGGCGAGTGGCTGGGCGCCCTGCGCCGAGCTGGATGTATTTTACGTCACTTTGGTGCACTTGTGGTTAAGGAAGAATAGTAGGGAAAGTTTGGAATAATTCTTATAAAAGAGGAGAAAATTGGCTCGATATGAAAATCTTTTAGCCGCTCAAGCAGTACTTGATTTACTATAACCATTAATTTTGAACGAAACGAATTTGATAATGTAAACTTTAATTTCAGATTGTTCACCGCTTCTTAGTCAAATGACGAATAATAATTTACAATAATAATTGTGAAATGAACCCTAACAACGGACAACGATTTATACTGAATTCGTGTCAATTTTATTTCATAATAATAATATTGTTAATAATTAATTTAACTATTGTCAGAAATTAATATTTAGTCGGTCCGATCGATAGATATTAAACTATAGAAAAATATCTCACGATTACTCTTTCTCAACTTTTCATGTTCGGAAATATTACTTTCTCGAAAACCATTGGTATAATAATCTGAAACTTTAAAATCCATTAAATATGCACGTTTCCGAATTAATTGGATATTTAGAATACATATAGTAGCATAGCAGCATTATAGTAACATTCAGTCTTCGATTAAATATTAATAACAGGTGCTGTACTAGGCACGAATAATCCAAAATTGTTTGGCATGATTATCTATACTCAATACGTGATACAGAGAATGGCAAAAAAAATTTGTTCTCTCTATTTCATGGATGCCTCTTCATATTCCAAGATAGATTATTTGGGAATTATTAATAGTCTTCCAAAATAAAATTCATGAAAGTCACCTACGTTTAAAGCTGTTACACTGGATTCCCTTTTTAAAAGAGCGTGTACGTACAAAAATAAATAAATATACATGTCGAATTGAGTAACCTTCTTTTCAAAGTCGGTTAAAAATGGAAAATTTCGAGAAAAGAATTTAGCATGCTGAAGAACATGTGGATATGAGGACGGATGGATCAGAACTTTAGATTCGAATTTAAGAACGACACTTGTAAACCGTGAAACGACGTTAGGTTCGATAACAGAGTGACGATAATTGAAAATTCCTTTATTGATTGTCGGCGGTGTCTTTCTCAGGCAGGTTTCATTAAATGTTTCGACAAAACGAGTTCCACTTCGACAAGCGAGGGGAATGAAAACTGCGAGGTTCTCGAATTGCCTAGAAAAGGAAGGAGAGTTTATTCCCGAGTAACTGTAGTTCAAATCTTCTCTATATTCCATTATACTAAAAAACGAGAAACATTAAATTAACTGCTCCTACGTTAAAATTCAATAAATAAATTGAAAAGTAGCTCCCAAAGTATTTCATTCACGAGTAAATTAAATGACAAAGCATCGTCTTTGAATAAGTTCCCACCGAGCAACCATCGAAACAAATTTAATGAATTATTTAACCACAAATATCCATCAGAGACATTTTGTTATTAAAACATCCCAAAGTCCCTTCTAGTAAACCCTTCACTTTCAACTGCTCTGTTATTGTATCTTTAACTACCAACAAATTAAAAAAAGAAATGGTAAATAATCTTCAATCGATAGCGTTCCACGATTTCATTTTTGTTCACCGATAGTTTCGACGTTAATGCAGGCGAAACTGATAGAATATGTAATTGCGAAGTCGAAACTCGTTACGCGTGGAAGGTAGCATGATACGCGTCACTCGAGATTACCGGGACAAGCGATGGCATCGCATAACCGAGTGACTCGCTTTATAGTCATGTTACCTCGGTTCGACTCGAGTGGACGCTTCGGGAGCATTGTTAGTGACAGCGAAAAATTGTGTTAGAGGGACTCCATCTTCTTCCCCTGTCAGGGATTACATTGCAGTTGTCTAAGATTTCGCCGTCGCAAGGTGTCACCGACACAGACTTTAACTTAATCAAATCTGATCTATGAATACCCTATCGGTGACGCTTTATCGATAACGGATGCTGGTTGACGAATTCAATCGAATCTGCCTCATCAAATTGTTTCTTTCCGCCATCCACTACTTTTATTCTATCATGCTGATGCTGTGAATTCTGTCACTGCCATTGGCAGTTAAATTTCTATTTACAGAATTAAAAAGTTTGTTTCGTCAAACGTTCGATGCTGTCCGCTTTCGTAAAGCTTTCCTCAAGTAACAACTATTAAAGTTTGTTTTATATGCCGACTATTAAACTAATTCTTTTAATTCAGGAAGGATTCAGAGAAACCAATAAAGAATTTTCAGTGAATGATTAGAGTAATATTAATTTTTAAAATACTCGGCAATCATGAATGCTTTCTTACAAGGAATATATAATAAAATAGTTGAATACCTGTCGGTATTAAATTGCACAACGCGACTCCTCCAGTGTCTTCCACCCGTAGGTCATTAGCGGATTTGATACTGGCAATTCGGAGAAAACTAAGCTGAAGTGAAGTTATCACTCTAACAGGTACGAAGCGCCGGAGTACGAAGTATCCAGGAACAAATCGAGGTACAGAAGTCGATTCATGCGGCATCGGGACGGCGACGACTCCGACGGCGACACTAGGTCGACCGTCCGATTCACGTCGACGCCTCAGGATTCTTCGGGGCTACGCGAACGGGTCCTGGACACGGAGGACGCGGCACGTGGACCCCTTTCGGGGATTTTTCGCCTCACCGACTCGCCACGCGTCATGAAGAAGCTCCAGGAGTACGAGAGGGCTGGGAAGAGGAAGAAGGAGGAGCCAGCTCCGCATCCTGTTCAACAACCTCAACCACCTAAGCCTCAGGTTAGCTATATTCCTCGTATTTTACATTTCGGATACTCTTTTTTATTTTATTTTTTTATTTTTTTTTTTTTGCTTCGCTAAGACGCCCCGTTTTCCATCTTACGAGACACCAGTTTTCCGGATAGACTGGAAAGCAATAAGTTTTGTTGGATTAACGCGTAGATTGTATTGTAGAGAGAGAGGACGATCAGTTTTTAAAAAGTGTGGACAATTTCAGTTTGTAAAATAATTACAAACGAAAGAAATTGTATTATGAAACGAGGAAGTGAAGGTAGAGGACATCAAAAGGAGATGGGAGGAAAAATAATGTATAAAGTGCTATTTAAATAATCTGGAGAATTAATACGTCGTACATTAGTGTGTGACATCTTTATGATTATTTCAGAAGACCGATACGAGCACACGAATATTTGAGTATCTTGACATTTTCAGCAATTACTCAGATTCAAACCGAGCTGATTTTACCTATAGAATTATCTTGAAATTGCCACTCGCGGGTAAACACCCTTAGACCCTCCAGGAAGCGATATACAGGGTGAAGAACAAGGTATAGTCAAAAAACCCACCTCTATACTCAAGAACTGATCTTTCCTCCTCTCTGCGATACATCAATCGCGGAATTTAATACGAAAGGAACGCGTTTTCGATTAGTTGAAACCGTTTGTTCGGTTATAACGGTGGCTATCGATTTCCCGAACGGCTCCCACATCCAAAAAAACACTCTCTCCGCCTCCATAGGTCACGCGGTTCAACAAAATTCCGCGAAATTGCAGTTATTTACAAAACGGAAACGATCGAAATCAAACAATACGACGCATCGCGGCGATTCGTGGGCATTTCTTCCGTCTTGTTCCATCGTTTGTTCTGTTCACCGAATCGAAGGAGATTATGAATCATTTTGTCCGCGGAATTCTAGTGGCAATACCATACATAAATCTCACCCTTCGATTCGGGCTCGTTGGGAGTCTGTAGATCGTCGCGTTCATTAGAAATGTAATCAGTGAATTATGTCGAATTGGATTGTTCGTCAATTTCACACGGTCGTATTTATTTTTGACAGTGATTCCACCACAGAATTTTCCCACGGATTCCCTTATTATGGCAGGCGAAATACGGGGATGGATCGTGAGCGGCAGTTTGACGGGGAGCGCACAGGGCGAATGTGTAGCTTCGATATCTCGCGTTGTATCGCTTGGAACGCAATTCAACGTGAAACTTAATTTTCTGTCAGTGAACTTGTGCACGCTCCAGGGACACGTTACGGGGACAACTCTCAACGAGCATTAAAAATAATTTCGTGCACCAGACGCGTGCGCGCAATGTGTAACGCGCACACGATCTGTGCTCGCGACGGTGTTGGGCGAAGTCTAATCGATCGGAGATCGACGTTAACAATAGACAAATAATCAGTAATTATAAATTATAACGTAAGGTTAAGGTAACTGGAGCATATATTGTTTTTACATCGTACATATAGTCAATTTTCTTTTTCTTTCGTCGATAGTGACTTTCTTAAAGTATGAAATCATCCCATAAATTTATGCCACTTAATGTCGTGCTATTCATTATTCTACAATGAATGAAAAAAATGTATTCACCTTCTCTTTATACGATTTTTCCCTAACCTGTCTAGCAAAGTAATTATGCGATTGCTATAAAATTTCTACAGCTTATCATTCAATATAAATACAACTCGCGGCACGAATTTATGTGATAATATACAATTTCGGTCCAATATAGATGTATTATTATCAATAATACTCTTATTGCCTTTAATATTATCAATGACAAATGAAAAGTAAATCGTGATTATTCTTCGCACCAAAAAATATCTAAAAAGATTCCACGTTTTCAATATGAGATTGGTAATTGGAAAACCGCGGCGTATAATTACTGATAAACTTGAGAATTGCGAGTGATTACTATGAAAGTAAACGATCACTGCCCAACACTGGCTCAAGCATGTAAATAATCGATGACACAAGCGAACGATGAAATCTAGTGTGTAGCAAGACGCTGTATATTTTGTACAAAAAAAAAATGATATCCTATTATAATACAAAATGGAAGATATGAATACACGAATACAAGTTCTTTTGCCTCAAGGAGTGTTCGTTTTTCCTTCACGAGTCCATTCGCGACAGACCCTCATCGTCCCACGAACGAGCGCCTATTCATTCATAATCGCGTTTTAACGCGAACCGTGGAATCACGAGTGGCGTATTAATTCACCGCGCGCGTGTTACCGCATAAATACCGAAGTACACGCTTGGCACGAGCATAGAAAACGAAGAAAAACCCTCTCCTAACATATTTGCGAGCACGTAACCCGAGCGCGAGTAATTTACCGTGCACGCGTATCGCTCATAAGGTGAAGAAAAATATTCTGTCGTCCTAAACAAGAGAGGCGTATGTCAGGACGTTGGATGCTCTTAAATATTAAACATTTCCCGAACGTCGATATAGGATTTTAGAATTATTACTGTTTGCGAACTTATTAAATCTTGTTTGTTTTATTGGCAACGAGATACGTTCAGTTGACCGAGGATTTATTTATATAAGAAATTCAACGAGGTAGGCTCGCTTGTGTAAAAATAAATGGAGACCACTTCAATCTTTCACTCTGTAGTTGAACTGGAGTACAGGTTAACGGTTGCATCATACTGGAAATATTATTAACGATGAAGTTAACCAGTCACGCAGCACTTCTGAGAGGGAGCGATTTCTCTTTGGAAATAAGCTGCTTTAAATTAGCTGTGCAAATTTAACTTGTATACAAAATTGTCCTCCAATTTTAAATAAACACCTAGCCTCGATAATAGTTTATATATTTCACAATTTTAATTTTCCTATAAATGATAATGCTAGGTGTCCTGGGACGCAATTTGCGAAGAAACGAGATACTCCTTCTAGACTTAGAACGACAGTACCAGTCGCAGAATTTTTTATCGAATCGTTTCCATTGGCCGTGTTAAACGTTTCTGTATTTATCGCGTAGGTACAGGTCAGGAAGGTACCGACAGCGATGGCGAGGCAGACCAGCGACGATGACGAAATTTCCAGGATCAAAAAGCAGAACAAAACCACGGCCGCACCTGCGACCGAAACGGTGGAAGAACGACAAACCGCGCCAACGCCTACACCTGCGCATCCACCCCCTAGGGAAACACCCCCGGAAAGGGAGCCCGAGGAACCCGCGCGAAGACCGATGCCCACGAGGTACGTTACTTGAATTTTATTTCATTCACCATAAAATATTCTCCGGACGAACCGTGGCTCGTCATAAATCCGATTTCTATTATCTTCCTTCGATATTATTCCATGCTAGCTGAATTACATACATAATAGATCGACAAACAAATATATTTTGTTAAAAAGCTTAATGAATTCATTTAATGAATGATTATTGTTGAAATACTATTTATAAATCATAAAAACCTCGATAAATTTAGTAAATAAACAATATCCAACGGTAAAGCTACCTTAGCATTAAATTATTTATAATATTATTTGTTGTTTTGTCTGCTATGAAAACTTATTGCCACTTACTTTCGTAGAATAGTTATGACAGGAAGTAATGGGTCCGTATCTCGATTAATATGGGATCTATAGAAAATTTGTATAGAATAAAAAATCATCTAAATTTAATTTGCGATAACTTTCGTTTCACATGATTGTGCACTAGAGGCAGCGATAAGCAAGATATAATAACGGTATTTGATTTATAATACATCGAGTTGCATATATTCAGTAGTAAGTTACGTTAATCAAAGTCATTGGAATCGTACGTCATGGAATTAATTTAACAGGCATGCCGCGATAAATTAGAGCTTCGTTAACCTGGTAACGGAATGTACAGTCTGATCACATTCAGCTGTAGCGCCGTTAACATCGAGTCACGTGGCCTCGTTCTCTATGCACTCCCAGTAGTGGTAGAGCGTACCTAGTCAGACAGCCTGATTTATGCTCGGTCGCCAGAAACGGATCGTTTCGATTGAACCGTGCAAGTTCTAAAGGCTCGCTTGGTTCGACCTCGTGATGCGGCGTTACATTTTTATTGTCTAATCGATACCTGCCGTCCAAAAAAACCGCCGACGCGTTAGATCGACGCGTGAATTCATTTAGTTTTACATCGAAGACAATTTTGAAGAAAATCTTTAACGATACGAATGCATGGCTAAGAAATTTTGGGAAAAATCTTTAACGATGCGAATGCAAGGCTAAGAAATTATTCCATTCAGGACGAAATACTATTCGAAATAGAAACGGCACGGGCGCATGCATCAACCAAATAGCTACATGGAAAACGATAAAATGTTCCTCTTTCTGGCTTTTATGTGAAACGACCACACGAGAAATACCTCGTGGCGTTATACCTCTTTGAAATATTTGAGCGTGGTTCTTTTTTTGTTAAATTCCAAAGGCACACAACGAAACGCTTGTATTCTTGTTGCTGGCAACGAGGAGCGCTCAGAGCTTGCGGTTTTCCGTTCGTGCACATTTTTTCCGTACCGCTTGCAGTCGGCGATTCTTCTCCGAATAGCGACACATTTTTTCGCACGGGGAATTTTTATAGGTTATAAGAATTCTAATGCACGAAACGAGGGAGAGGGGGAAAGATTGGAGCCGTTTTAATATCTTTCAATTCAAGAATTTCAGTTCGTTCGCGCTATTGTGTCTGGGAAATTGAAAATTTGTGACCAACAGAAGTTATTGTAATAATACTGAATTACGAAAATATGAATTTAATAAGCATGAATTAAAATTGTTTCTATGTAATGGGATTATTTACAGTAGCAGACACCTGTGTTTATCATGGTTGGTTTTATCGAAATTTTGTGTAGAACAAAATTGTTTTATAAATTAGATTTACACCAATAAGCAGCGATGAGCGAAATAACTTAGACAGACAGATGAATACTTAACGCGTCCCGCAACTTCGTTCTCGAATTGTTCCGGTATCTCGTTTACCATCGACTCTGTCAAAAATTCTTTAAAGAAAGAAAAGTCTCTAAATTTAATTTCCAATAACTTTTATACCACATATTTTTTATATCAAAGCAACCATGAACAAGATATTGTAAATTATATAAAACCCCAGGAAACTTCTTTTTTAATGAAATTCCTGTGACGTCACATAACAGAGATTTTAAGTCAGCCTATTTTGTTGATATACCCGAAGTTTCATCAATTTCAGGGTAGTTAATTGAAATGTCGTTGCTCACAGGAGAACCTCGACGGACACCCACGCCCCCGCGACGAGAAGTGCTTCATCAGACTCGAGCACCGGCTCTGAGAGCTCAGGAGGATCAGGTATCCGTAGCACAGGTGCGCCATTCACCGCCGAAGAAATGAAGCAGAAATACTTGTCGAGGGCGCCGGCGTCGAACTCTTCGTCCACGGTTTCGACGACGCCCGCCAACGCGACGACGCCTGCCAAGGACTCCGCCAACGCCACGCCTGCGACGCGCTCCTTTCAGAGCCGTTTTTTAGGCACAGGTGACGCTTCTTGAACACGTTTCTGCTCTTTCTCTCTGCAAGCCCTCCTTAAGAGACATCTACTCTATTCTGAAATTTCGTATTTAGATCCTATTGATAACTTTGTCAAACTTTGCAGGCTTACTCATACATTTTTCAAGAAAATGTACTTTGATCTAAAGAAATATTAATTATCCGAGCAAGCATGCTGTCGAAGGTATACTATCTCGGTGTCATCTATAATTTTTAAAAGAGACAAAGGAGTTCTAAACTCTTGTGTTTAGTATGTGTATAACTCAAGGTTAAAATAAATATAAATCTGGATTACTTCTTTTTCAATCCTAGCTCACAAGATAACCAGAATCGTCCGGTATCTCCCTCTTTTTTTAATAATTTTAATAATTAGATTCGTACCCACTTTCGGGGATTTTTATTCGTCGAGGACTTCTTTTTCGAGCTGACTCGATACCTCGATTAACATCGACTCAATTGAAATTCATAAAGAAAAGGAAGCTTCCAAATCAAATATAACACACATTTTACGCCCAAAGCAACGATAAGCGAGATATCGTAGATCCTATAATTAGTGCCCTCGCTGGAACTCTCCTCAAACAAGATTTTTCTTCCCAATTAGATATCATTAATACTTAAAGAATTCGTGGCAAAGTACCTGCTTCGAGTATCAAAATACCGTCAGACCCTTCCATCAGTATTTCCCATGAACACAAATCCAGTCAGATGGGAAAGAAACCCGGAGGACCAACAGATACGTTATTTAGCCGTGTACCGAGTTCCTTCTTATTTCTTTAGGTAACCGTGCAGCTCCGCCGCCGCCCACGCAAGCTCCGCCGGCGCGAGAGGAGCCCACCGTGAAAAAGAAGGAGGAAGAGGAGCACGAGGACGACGAGGACGAGGAAACCAGCAGCTCCTCCTCCGAGACGGAGTCCGAGACCGAGGAAGAGTCGGAGACCGACACACACCCTCCGAGCAAAACATCCGCGACGACACCTGCAACAGTAAAGAGGAGCGAGTCCGCGATGGCGAGGACTGACATCGGTCCTCTGCTCGCTCGAAGCGCCGAGGCCAGACGCGGCAGCAAGGAGGACTCACCCTCGACCAGGCAAGTATGCTTTTTCCGGTCTAACGATCAACCTGTTGACTGCCAACGATTCGCACGCGAGAGCATTTTCAGCGTTGTCTCCCTACAGAGCTGGCAGTCAATAGGTTGGGAAGGTTGGGGGAGGCTTCTACTCTGGAACTGCAAAGAAAGACGTTTCGTAAGGGAATTTTTACCGAGGCGCTCTTGAAAATAGCTTTTGGAGAATTTGCATTTTTCTTTGTACATATTTTGGTACGATATTATGTGTACGATACATTTAGAAACGTAAGGAACGCCAAAAGATACTTATTTACATTGTACCAGACCCATACAAGTATTTTTTTAGTTCATTTAAAATACATGTGAACTGTATGCTGTTTATAAGGAGTGTCCAGGAATTGTAAATCAATTTAATTTTAAATTATACGAATATTATTTCAATTAGAAAAATGTATGAAAATATGTTATTCCATTCGGAAGAAATACTTCTTAAATAGATATCTTTTCTGTTATCATACACCTCGGGGATACCAATATAATATATTTATGTATAAAAATGTAGAAATCTTATCGCATGGAAAAAGTATGTTGAATTAACAACTTTGACGAAATGATAAGTTGCCAGTAATGTCCTTTATTCAAACATAGCAACTATTACGAAAAAGCATCCTTTATAGAGGTTGTCGGCGTTGCGAAATAAAATTACAGTATAAATGATCAAAAAGTCAGGTTTAACAAAATGCAGAGCGAAAAAATGGAATTCTTGAAAAATCTAGAGGAGAAGTCTGCCTTGAAGGGTTTGAATGAACGAGCAACGTCGTCACGATAAAATATATCAAGGCAGCCCTGGCGCGTTTCTTTTCTTCGTACACGAGATGAGAATTCCCTGGGGGATCTTTGGGAATTTCACATGGCCGATGACGTCCTTGCGTACATCCCGAGAAGACTCTCCTATTCTATTTTTCTCTCTCTCTTACTACATAACAATCGCGTAGCAACAACTCGGAGAAAACGAGTATCGATGCAGCCGACGAACGGGGAGAACCACGTTCCATCAAACGAACTAGGCGAATTGCCAACAATTTTCAACCATAAGCTGGAAATTGTGTTTCGACTATACAGAGAACCATCGCCATATAGCGAGCCAGGATTAATTCGTAGCGCGACAGGAATGATTGACTGCTTCCAGCGAGAATTATACGTAGGAGAACAATAACAAATGCGGATGTTTATGCAAATCCATATTTCTATAGATCTAGGTGATGAGATGAATTTTAAAATTAAAATTATCCCTTATCTTTCAAATAGGGCAACATATAGTTTACTGTTAATATTTCCAATTGCTATAAATGCATAAATTTCCATAGTCTAATAATAAATATTTCCGTATAGTAGAGTCTGGAGGTATATTTCTTTTTCTTTTGCTTAATATGTCACGGTGATAAATTAACCAATATAAACATCTCAGTCATGGTTATTGTTTGTTTTTCTAAATATAAACGTCGTCTTTTACTCGGGAATATTCAATTTTCTCGACTTTAATAGTACCAAAATTATAATGAAAAGTATTAAGACTGGCAAAGTTTAAGTCAATTTCTTTTTTTTTTCCATCAGTGCCCCTCATGTATACTCACCGTACTCACTGTCACTGTATTAAATTTCATGATATTCATAATGTAGATCAAAATAGAAACTAAGAAAGTTAGCATTTTTAGACTCAGATACTTCAGAACCATTTGTTGGATCTAATAACATTCCTGGAAAGTAATAATCAATCTATTCGACGTATTTCTATAACTTCCCTTATTTCTATTTAATTCAGATTAAATTTCTTCAGCATTGCTCTCTATATTCCAAGGGAAAGGAAAGACAATTTCAGTTTCAATGATACTTACTATAAATATTATTTATAACAATTCCCATTACGAACTCCTCCATCTATTCACCCTCAAAATCTATGTTTACGATTTCTCCGCGTCTACTCTTCTCATTCCATTTCCTTCTTCATCACGTTTTCTTTAAGAAATACCCCGAAACTCAAACACCAAAGGAACCATTCGTCCATCAATGAATCTCCCACGTGCGTTTCTGCCCCAAGTCAGTCAAATCATTCTCGCCGTGCAACGAACGAGTCCTAGCCGAGCATGATTACCCGTTCGCCGGTTACGGAAAGATCGAACTGGAATATCGAGCGATATCACTCGTGCCTTAGGTATTCGTCGCCGAGGGGGAGTCCCGCGCTAACGGTATCGAGCCCGACGACCACGTCACCGACGACGACCACAACCGCCGGCACCGGGACGTCGACGACGCCGTCAGGCTACACCAGCAGGTTCGTAGCACACGTAGCACACGGCCAGACTCATCATCGGGCCAGTTCTAATTCCAGTAACCCCCACGACCGTAATCGTTTTAGGACGTTTAGTGACGAACACGATCAACCGTCAACCGGTCGTCGCGGGGATAACGATATCGCGGCTAAGAACGCGGATAACGATATTGACGGTGCGGACGGATCGATGGTTAAACCGCAGTCGAACAAACGGACCCACACGGACGATAGTACGGACACCGACGAAACGATCACCTCATCCTCCTCCTCCCACGCGACTAGATCCGTGTGTCTCGAAGGTAGCGGTTACGATAGTCGACTAGAGGACCGCAGCCAGCTCCACGAGGACGCGTTAGTGGACGGTCGTTCGGGGAACGACGCGAGCTCTTCGTTGTCCGCAACAAACGAACCACGGGTAACCGTGGCCGTCGCGAACATAGTAAAATCGCGAGAGAATACTTTAAAGACGCCCACGATGGACGAGGGAAAGAAATCTCGGGACGGATCAACCGGCACTGAATCTGATTCGGAGACCGAATCCGAGACCGACTCCGAGACCGACGACGAAGAGGAAGGGTCCAGGGACGAGAACAGTAACCTGAGAAACAAAAAGACTGAGAATCCAGAGAACGGTCGTACGTCTCCCAGCGAGGACGGATCCACCGACCCGGAGACCGACTCTGGTTCCACCGATTCGGAGACTGATGAAACCACCGTTCTGACCGTTCGATCCAACCCAAAGTCGGAGGATTACCTTAATTCGCAACGATACGACGACGCAGCGAAACGTAGAAGTTCCTCGATAATCGGCGAGAAGAGCATCGAGGAGCTGTTTGACGACAACGGATGGGTGATCACCGACCAGGATCTACAGACGGAGACGTTGGACAGGAACTCCAAGGACCTCGAGCCTAACGATCGAGATGGCTCCGAGCATAAACAGCAGGACAAAGAGAACTCTCGTGGAACGGAACAGGAGGATAAGATGAACGATGAAGAGAGGAAGAGCCTTTCGGGATCCACCGAGAGTTTACCTAGGAACAGAGTGTACAGGCAGAGCAGTATCGGTAAAAACGGCTGGCTGGTCTCCGATGAGTCCGACAGCGACAAGTCAGAGGGTCCGGACGCGCCCAAGAAGGACGAGAGAACCAACGACGATCGGACAGCGAACGGAGACGATCCGAGCGGAAAAGGTTCGACGATCCCAGATAACGCGTGGAGCATCGACGATAACGGGTGGGTGATACTGAACAAGGTCGACGACCCCGCCATCGGCAAAGACATCGGGGGCCAAACCACGAACGAGACGAGCACGATTCGTTCCCAAACGACCGACCTCGTAGCGAGAGCTAACATTGAGAACGGTGCACTAGTCGCGAACGCTACCCAATCCAAAGAGACCGACAGTTCCAACGAGCACGAGGACACGCCTGGTGTCAATATCACTATACCGATGCAAATGGTAACCACCGTTTTCTGTGTGTCCGTACTGTGTTACAGCGTTCTAATCAATCTGTTCCTGTAACCCCGTATACACGTGCAACAATCCCGTGCCCCTGTTCTCGCCGTATTTACGTTCAACGTTCGCGGTTCGTTCGTCTACTTCTTTTTCTTTTTATATACACCGTTCGCCATACATTTCCATACAACGTCGTATTTGTGACTTTTTCGAGGAGAGACGTAAGCGAGAAGCTATTTTATGATAAATTTATACGTACATCGAGGATAAGTAATTATATTTGAAATCCTTGACAGGATTTTCAAACTATCCGAGTGACGATTCGGTTACGTCTGGTTCTATCAACACGGTCATTTCGATCCGTCCCGAATTTTACAAGGTTTATAGAAACCGTTTATATTTTTCCCAACCATGATGACTTTTATAAAAGTGATCTCATATTAAAGGCTCATATAAAATACTCATATAAGAAGACAAGTGTATATCATAATCTATCTTTGTCTGAGCCTCCTAATTCATATTAGTTAAACGATTTCACTTATTAAAGCATTTTACAGTAATAGAAATCTGACAAGGAATGAACCTAGTGTTAAAGTACCCCTTCAAGTTACCAATTTTGCTACCAAACCACCAACATCTCTCGCAGTACATCACACAGATGATTTTTATTCGTGTCTCATTCCTCTCCACTGCACCCCACGATGTAATCTCACAAGGGATTCTGTAGGGATCACATCTTGTTCTGTTGTATACCTCGTTATCTCCCAAGTTGTGAATATCGAGTACTTACAACTACAAGCTGATTCGATACGAACGAGCGCAGACACACCCTTGCAATAGTACGTCTTTCTTCAGAAAAATTGCAGGTCCGATGCGGTATTGAAATTAACGGCCGATAGTGCATTTCTTTTTTTAATCGTTCCTCGTTGTTTTTTGTTCGTGTTGGGTCGCGAATGACTGCAGACTATCACGGAAACAGACGAGACTGGCTTTCGATGCCGAGATCCGACGCAGCAGTTTCCTTTTTACCAGAGTTCGTTATTTTTATCTCTAACCTTCTACTCCTGTCCCTCCCCCGCCGCCCCCCATCGCTCGTTTCTTCGACGTGTTTTCGTTCGAGTTTATCGGGACCCGGGAAAGAATGCTGGATCGCGAAACGTTTGTTTTAAAGCGACGGAAAAACAGCGCGTGAATTCGAGGAGTCGATCGGCGGTCCGTGAGCGAACCGGAATTTATCGAATTTCCCGGTCCTTGGCAGGAATGGGCACAATCGAAGCATTTTGTAATCGAAGTACGTCTAAAGTACAAAACGTGTTCGGTGGTTAGTATTGGTTGCGGCGCGCGCAGGAATTTAGCGAACGGGGTATAAATAAAAATTGACAGAGAGGAATAGGTTTCGAAAGAATCGTGTGAGTTTTTACGGAGAGTTTGGAAGAAAATTCATTTAACAATTAAACATCTCGTTCTCCTCTTTTGTTTTTTGCATACCATTATCCGTATAGTATTTACTAATCATAGGTCATTGAGATTTGTAATACGTGGAAGAATATGCATTTCATTCCAAAATAATTTCTACTTTTACCTATGTCACTATTTTTGAATTTTATCTTTATTTCATCTATATTTTCATGAATTGTATTTTACATCATTCAAATTATAGGTAGGGGCATCCATTCAAATTTAGTTCCATGTGATCACTGCTCTTTTGTATATATTGTAAATAGTTTGTATACTTTTGAGTTTTAACATAGTTTTTAACTACATACCTAATACGTTTTAATTCTAATCGCTGACGAAAGTTTCCATACCTACTGTTCGTAAGTACAACATACTCGACATTTTTTGAAAATGTTTTCTCTCGTTTTGCTCCTACTTTGTTTGCATTACTTGATCTCTTTTTTGGTAATTGTACAATAGTGGATATTTTTTACCGGTGTAGAACATATTGAACATCCATTTTTACTGTTTCTGGGGGAAATAGGTTTAAAGACTCGACTGTTCGGAGAAACAATATTATGAATTAGAACACATAAACTATTCACATGAATATCTATAACGAATAGGGCTGTATTATTCAAACAACGTGAAGAAAACTGCATAGAAAACTCTAATAGAAAGTGGGCATAAAATATATCAAAAATTACCAATATAATAAATGCTCGACTGAAGCTCGAGTTTAACTTAGAATAAAAATTAGTCGGTCGTTTTAAGATTTATTAGCATAAATTATGCCCATACCTGGTCCTTGACCGTCAACTTTCGTCTCGTCGTTTATTTTTTTTACTTCACGAAACTGCTGCCCCCGGAATCTCTCCTTCCCCGACGAGTCTTTCAATCGACGACAACCGCAGAAGCATCGATCGTCGCGCATCGAGCGGTTCTAATGAAAACAGAGAGTAACACCGTATAGACAATGCTAATTCGCGCAGATTATAATATTGTATGGTGGAACTTGCATTTTTATTAATTGTGATAATCGTACGTTACGATCGTAAGCGTAAATCTTTGTTGTTCCTACGTTGATTCCCGCGAACACGTGTCCCCCCTCCGCATTGCTCAAATAAGTAGCTTTTGTAGTTATGAGAGAGAAATGTCGGCTAACGCTCAGTAAGTGTAGTGAGAAACAACTGTCCTCCCAAAAGCAGCTTGAATCCACGCTGAAACGAGGCTTCTTCAATTCGTTCCCATTGAATCGGTGGCGCGAACCGCGTGTCACGTATCACAAATCGCTCGAAAAGGGTTGCTTTTTCACGCATAGGCTGTCAGATTATTAGTATATACACTTAAATGCATGGTTTAACTATTTGTCTAATTTGCATACTGAACTCAACGATAGTAACGATAATAATTTACAAAATGGCATTTACATTTTTGATTGGTATAGTGTGCCATGCAATTTCTTTCAACATACGTTACACCTTATATTAACAATCTATAAAACGGTTAAAACATTTACAAGAAGAATGTTAGTTATTGAAGACTGCATTTACAGTTTACAAAACACTTGCATGTTACGTTTCGATTATTTACAAAAAATAAATAAGTACGAATAACGTCTAAAATTCAGAGAGAAAAGTGCTTGAACAGTGTCCTGTGAACAGAAAAAAAATACTCCTAGCATAAAACATTCTACGAAATTAATTGGACAGTCTACGCGTTAAAAAGCACCGCGTACCAAGTCCTGCGCAGCCTATCGCTCACGTGGGAACGTGGCTTAACGCGTGACACGCAGTTCCCGCCCACGTCACGTTTCATATCATTAAGTTTTTGTACTCTTTTTCCTAGTGAATAGGCTTGCGTCAGTTTGTTGGTGTGGTAAATAAACTGCATTTCTTTGTGATAACTCGTATTATTTATTTCCCTCTCAACTTGTCCTCAGTTTACACAAGCAATAACGAAAAACCAGAAAAGTTTATCTAAATAGAAAAAATGTCGTTCCCCCATTTGTAATTTTCACTTTCGTATACGTGATTCGTCTCTACTTAAATGTCTCACAAGTCGATGAACATTGTTTTTCTTCTTTATTTTTCAATCATATTTT